GTTTAGACAAGGTGTGGTATTACGTAGTCTGTCAGACAACATAAAAAAAATAAGAAACGGAAAATAATTTTATGGTTAAATATACTTTCCCATGGAATTTTTACATTCCCTTATCCTGTGGGTAGAAGTACTTGGGCAGCTATCCTAAGTTACGCAAATTAATGTTAACACAAGAGACACTCTGGATCTGTTTTCTTCTACTGGGAAAAAAAAAAAGGGACAATATTTGAAAAAAATATGTGACATTTGACTGGACATATTTTGTAACATTTGGTTCAAAGCATTATTTCCCACTGGACCAATATAATTTCTGAATTACGTGGTTTGAACTTGTATCCTCTTCTTTGATGACGGCATATACTGCTTAACATAATTTGTAGTGTATTCCTTGTACTTTTCTTTTTGAGTAATATTTTTGTGACTCTGCTTAGCACTGCATATCTTTTTCTTAAGTAATTTTTCTGCTGTGAAAGCTTAGAAAGTCTGTCACTAAACTAGTTACTGTGTTACAGATTTGTTGTTTGACAGTGACAGCAATGTGCCAAAATGCTTTATCTGTCCTCAGACAAATAATATTCAAAGTATTACGAGGAAAGAACAGTTTAAAGAAAACAATAATCACAAAATCTTTGATGACCTTTGCAAATAATGATGTGATCTCTATCCAACTCATCTTCTACAGGTGAAAGACTTCTACGGTCTTAGAGATAGTCATGTAATATCTCTATGGTGATTAATTAATCACCTCAATGTTTGTATTTCTCTGTCTTTTGTTGGGGAAAAGTAAAAGTTTCAGGCATTTATCTCTACCTGAATTTGGAGATTACTTAATCTTTAAAAAGTTACTTTCAATTTTCAGTACAATGAACAATCATTTCAATTGAAAGGCTAGTGTCTGAAAGTGCTGCATTTTTAGAAATTTATTGGCAGGTGCTGCCAAGATTGTTGTCCCTGCCTAAAAGATATGTAAACAATGTGACAAATCCATTTAGCCATAGACACGGGCTGAAATGGACACATATGAGTCCCCATGGTATTCTGCATATATTTGACTCTCTGTAGGCTTTATGACCTAGAAGAGTGTCTATTTTAACGATTATACGCAAGTGGAATCCTAGAATCACTCACACTGGGACAGAAGTGGGTGATATTTTGGAAACCAAACTCACAAACAATTCCAAGTTTTACAGGTGGCCCCCATTCCAAAACCAGTCTGTACCAAAAACGACACTGAAATTGGGATCTGGATATTGTATTTATGTCCATCTATATTTTAAAAATTTATCCTTTGCATGGCTTTTATTTTTGTTTCTCTTCCTCATTTGTCTTTACATACTTCAGAAATTCTCTTAAAGTTTGGTGGAAGTACCAAAGTAGATTTCTTAGGGCTGTCATCCAGTACTAGGGACTATGTTAGCTAAGCTTCTTGGAGTGTAAAACTAAACAAAAGCAGTTTCTGTTCAGCCCTGTATCTCTACACTGTTCAGCTATATTACTCACAGGCTCCTAGCAGGCAAACTTCTGAAAGTTTCCCAACTCATTTAAATTAACCTAAAAATAAATCTTCTGATATGATTACGTTATTACTGGAGGAATTTTATCTCATGTCTTGTAATCAAAAAACAATGGTTATCACCAGCTTGGTTTCAAAAGAAGTTGTTTAGCTGTATCATTTTGTAAAAAATAGTCTTAAAATTACCAATTTCAGTTTCACAAGTTGGAAAATCCTGAACACTATGATTTATGCAAGGAAGACTATAGTTTTGCTGTCTGTATCTTATCTTTCAGGAGATTTTTAGGTTTCTTGATATTGATAATGTTTTTTTACAATATATGCACATGCATATAATATAAAATACATTCACTTGTATTTCAAGTTTATGGTTGACAATCCAATAAAGGTACTTAAAGCCATTCTCAAAATACCACAGGGTTTAGACTTTGCAATTCCTCTCAACTCTTGTGTTCATCCTTAGGAAGTTACTCATCTTTTTTTGTCCCTAGGTAAAACCCTGAAGTTCTTTATGGGACCCACCCTTTGCTAGTTCTTCATCTTTCTAATAATTAAAAAATCTTTATCAATCTCAGTGATATCTTGCAACTTTTACTTGACTTAATCAAGTACTATCTTTTATCAACAGAAATATCTCTCGATGTTACGGGCTGTTCCTTTTCTCCCTACCATTAGTTATTTTGTATACTTCCATAACAGCATCATACATACCTTCTTTCCCATCTAATAGTTCTGTATGTTACAGCTTTCTTTCCTCATCTGGAAATCATTCCAGGTCTCTAATTATTTCCATTGTCCTGTTCTTTTCTGGACCATTTCCATTTCTGCTATACCCCTCATGAAATTAGACAACTGAGATTTACCAAAGTGTAAGACAGAAGTGGTGTCACTGATTCATGTATCACATTTTGTTATTCTCTGTCTCCAAATAAACACCATTTCTCACAGCATATTTTATGTTTTTAATATTAGTGCACACATAAAGACATGTGTAAGACTATCTAAACTTCACATTTTTGTGTGAATTTAGAGTAGCCTCAGTTGTACTTCCCAGCATGCATACTTTTCCTTCTTCAACATATGTTTGCACAGACTGAAGCTGGTGTTATTTTTTGGTACAACCAAGTGCTTCAGTATTCAGCCTTCATTAGAGTGGTCTTGTGCTCCAGGATAATAGTATTATTTCAACTTAAGCTGTATGGCTCCTTTTCCAGCTGTGAATGTACTTACCAAAAATGTTGGTCAGCTAGACTTACACAGACAGTAAGTGACAACTTTTCTGCAATTATTTCTCTTTAATTTATTATCTCTAAATAAAAAAGGTATCCAAGGAAAATGCAGAATATGTTAATACACAAAAGGTAACAGAGTCCAAAATCAAGAGTTTGAGATAGGGTCTTAAAATTATATGTGGGCATTTAACTGTGCTGAGTATCTATTGTTTCTACAGTTCCTCAGAGGTAAAAAAAAATGCTGAAAAATCTGTTGTTCAAGCACCTGAATTTGTACCCAGGAGCCCAATCCTAAACATTCACTTCTGTAATCCTCACTCAAAGTTTTCATAAGAATCAGCTGAGGAAATTAAATTTAGAAAAAATGTCAGTTTGTTTGGGTCTTTTTTTCTTTGAATCAAATTCAAAATTATTAGAAAATCTGGTTTTAACCTTAAAAAGAACTTGCAGTATATCTCTGTATTAGAATATCTTTCATTTTTATATTAATTTTAAAGTATTCCTGAGCTCTGTCAGAACACTCTGAACACAGCTTTGCCAGGTTTCTTTGCCAAAAGACCATAAAACATAATAAAGGATTTGCATTGCATCACAATGTTTCTCTACTGATATGAGAACAGCCTAGTATGAAGGATGTGATTTAATTCAAAATTCTGGGGAACAGTATAACAGAATAAGCAGAAGGGAACATTTACAATGAACATGAGGGGGGAAAAAGTTTTTTGAAAAAAAGTAGTCTATCAACATGGGCCCAGACACGCAACTCTTCCAAAGGAAGAGATGTAATCCTCGTCACTGGAGCAGTTCAGATTTAAGCCACACAAGTTGCATGGGAATATATAGCAGAAAGCAAACCCACACTGCCTTGAGCCGAATAGTTTGAATGATCTAATCTGTCCTTCTGCCTCTTAAACAGAGTATTGAATAACGATGCAGGTGACAAGGTTTTGACTGGGGGGATGGGGTTGTCGTTTGGGGGCTTTGTTTGGTTTTTTTTGGTTTTCCTTTTTAGATAATTTATGGCACCTAGAGCTCTAGAATTAAAATGAGCAAATATGCTGGGCTTTTTTGACTGCTGGTACTTCACCTTGCATAGACTTCTTTCACTGATGCTTCCACAATCACTGAATAACTAGCACATCTCTCTAAGTTTACCCTGTACCCTTTCTCAGAAGAGTTTTGATGGCTTCTTCACAGAAGGATATCATTTTCTTTCCTCATCTTTATTTCCCCCAGTATTTTAACCCTATGCATGCCATACCAGGCAAAGGTGTTAATCTCCTTTTACCTGTCATTCTTAACTTATGCTTTTTCTCTTATATTCTCCCTTACATTTCTTCTTCTCTCTCTCTGTAAGACTTTGCTTTGATTTTCATAATTATTATTTTGTTCTTTCCAGTGTCCCATTTCCTTCCTTCTCAGCGGTCTCCATTCACCTATCTCCCTTGACCAGCTCTGATGAAAAGCATTTCTTTCCAGGGACATTCTGCAATGTCTTTAGCATTTGAAAACCGAAATCCTACCTAATTTTCCTTCTGTCTCTGTGAGAAACCTGTGTACTAAGAAAGGCAGACTTGAGAATTGTCTTAGAGTCTTTGTCAACCTCTTCTTTCAGAAGATGTGATTTCTGTCTTTTCTGTTTGTAGTGTGCCTAATGCTACAAGAAAAAAACAAACAAAATCCAGCAAGGCAGAAGAAAGCAAAATGATCCCTTATTATAAATAAAAACTCATTTGAGAGAAAAGAGTCATCTTTTGGATGCCTACAGCATTTTAAGTGCCTACATCCAAGTTCATCAACATTATAACCCACATATACGTGCAGAGTTCTGGGTTACTTCCCTTTGTTTAGTATCCTGTTCTATCCCCTAAGTCTGGAGTAAATTAGATAGACGCATCTATAAAGTTAACATCCAAGGTTGGTTGGATTACTCCCAGCAGAAGGAGAGAGATGCAAATCAGTATTGCTAATGTGAAATCAATGGAATTATGGGCTAAATCAGCTATGATCAAGGTATAACAACTCAGTCATATTCAATTCAAAATATTAAAAATTGCCGTTAGTACAAGGGTTGGCCTCAGCACTGTCTGAACCTTATTTGATCTGTGTGTTCTCATCAGCTCTTTTGTCCTCAATGATAAATTCCTTTTCTTTCTTGGAATAAGCTCATTAAGTTCTGCCTTTCCAAAAATTCGGGATTTACTTCAGACGAAATTTCCTAGTACTTCTACTGTTTTATAATACTGCTTTCTTACCTCCTTCCTTGGAACAGATGGTGATCAGAGTGTGAACTGTATCCATCAATTCAAGCTGCTGTTTCTGCAGGACACTGTTATTGCTAGTTGCCTTGTTTAACTGCTTCTCTAGTTCCTGGATTATGTAGCTTTGTCGTGTGACCAAGCTTTGCAGATTCTCTTTTTCCTCCTTCAAAGTGTCCAGCTCTTCTTTATGCCTTTCTTCCATTTCTAAAATTCTGTGTTCAAGTAAACTAAAATGAAATAAAACAATTAGTAGGTATCATTTCATGTCAACATATTTATTAATACAGAAAACAGAACTATTTTATTTTTCACCTTAGAATTCAGTACATAAATATTTTATTCTAAAAATGTCACTTCTACTAATTCAGCCCACTGATTTCCTCTATCAAGCAGCCAAATGTAACTAATCTCTAAGGTTTCAGTTTTGTGATGTTTGCATGCTGTAGTACATAAAGTGCGTGGAACAGCATATCTAGTTGTTACACCTATCCAACTGTATAAGCATGGGGCCAGTAACACATATGTATGTAGAAGTTCAGGCAGCATAGTCTAAGGTGGGCAAAGGAGGGAGAAGAGTAGGGCATTGAAGAGAACATCATTGGTAGCATAGATGAGTCAGTACAATAAAAGACAAAAATCAGGGGTAAACTAAGGAAGAGTTTGTGAATGGAAGATAAGCATTAGGAGCTATGGAGTACCATCAAGGGATACGGAACCTACAACAAAAGCACCGTTTGATGTGGTCTGTGAAGCTGGGAAAGGAACTGTGCACCAGATGAGTGGTATCTGCTTTCACATTAAGAATAGTGCTGTTTCCCCAAAAGATAAATCAGAAGTTTGTGTTTTAAGGTAGAATTCCCTTGTTTTCCTTGAGTCCACATAGATATTCCACACCCCTCCCCCCCCAGCTGCCTTTTCTGGTTCCACAAAAGACTCCTCAGAGAGAAAACTGTTGGGCATCATACTATGTCACCTGCTTACACAAATTTTTATAAATAATTTTACACAGGTATGGAAACACTTTCTCCTGAATAATATTCTTTTTCAAGTACCCTCTCTGTCTTGAGTTGGAAGTGTACACTTTGCAAAGATCAAAGGCATGTCAGATTACATCTAGAGGAACAGAGGAGTTTTAGACATAAAGGACAGCTAATATCTGTTAACAGTGAACAAGAACTTTTTTCAAGCCAGTGCTTTGATGCTGTGGTGGGAGTTTAGCACAAATATTTTATTAATATTAGATAAAGAAATTAATCCAATCCCTCTGCCACTTTCTGTTCAGTAATTCTATTGCATAAGCCAAAAGATGTGTTTCTCATGCCCATAAACCAACTGCTGGTTACAAACTTGCCAACAAACTGCTTCCTGTTCAAGTCAGGTTTTATTTATTTGCACTCTCCCTCCACCTTTGTTTTTACTTCTGGATAATAGATCAGTGGCAAAATGCCTGCATAATTTCAGGTCATTTAACCTAACTGAAGAATGTAATAAAATCCACATGGAGTTGTTTCTACTGGATATCACAGAGCCTTAATACAAGCAGTTACACATGATAACAATGCAAAGATTAAACTCAGGCCCTAGATTTTCTGTACAAGCTACAGTAATATGAAACTTTTTTCTTTTTTTTCTAAATAAAAGAAACCAAGCAGCAAATCTCTTTTTCTGAAATGTTATAAATGTGGGACTTAACAAAGATACTGAAGAAAATATACTTGGCAATATGAACATATCTAGATCTCTGAAAACCAGAAGGATCTGGATAAAAGGGGAAAAAAAAGAAAAGATGAAAAGGGAAAACACTTTTTCATGGGGTCCTAAATGCAAAGGGGACATGGTATCTCATTCTAAAAAGCTCATTTATTAGTAACGAAAGCATAACAAGATTCAGTGGACTGGAATCAGGTGATAGAAAGTTTCAATCTGAAACAAAGTACAGATTTTGGAGCCAAAGACCATAAACTATTTTAACAACTTATCAGACATGTAGCTGATTTTTTTCGTCACTTGAACTCTAACATTAAACACAATGCCTTTATGCTCTAGACTCCTATGGATTTTTTTTGAGTCTACTTGGAAGTCTTTGAGCTTTGTTATGCAGAAAGTCAGACTAATCAATTTAGTTAGGCAGAAGTGGTTGAAAATGTTCTGGTGGAACTGGTTTTAGTCATAACATACTGTTAAACAAAATTTAAAAAAATATTCTATGCGAATTTTATCAGTTCTGTCCACTTTTTCAAGGAAATTATTGAAATGCTCATTTTAACTTTTCTGTTAGACTATAAGTTATACCAATGCACTTTGCATAGGAACAAGGTGGGCTCTGGGCTCCGTCTGTGATAGAATGGGTGCTAGGTGTGGCCACACCCCAGTCTGACATCTTACAGTTCAGAGAAAATGTTGTGTATTGTAAGAGAAGATGCCATTCTTGAAGCCAGAATATTGCTTTCTGGTTAAATGGTAAGCAAACACATACAAGGTTCCCTTTATCTTTGTCCATATCCTAGTACAGTACAAGGCATTTTCCTAGTCCCATAACATCCTACTTGCATGTCCACAACTAAATGATTTCAGTATCTGAATGATTTAATGTAAAAGAAAGAGCCTTTGACAGCCACTATTTGTGTGTTGCATTTTTGGTTTCCCACCATAGCCTAAGACCATAGTAAACAAACCCGTGGTGATGACAGTCTTATTTGTAGCAACACTGGCCATGTCAAGCAAGAAGGAAGAATATTTAGATCTTCCTAGTTTGGCATCTACAGAGACAGACAGCAAGCAGATGTTTTACAGCTTTAGTAACAATACTTCCCAATATTTATGAATAGTGTGTCAACAACATGTGGTAGAAAGATGGGAGTGTCACAGCACTTGGTTCCATTACAGTTTTCTATGTAGATTAAAAGTTTTCTTATTATAAACTGCAAAACTAAGCTATTTTAAGGAATGCATACGCATTCATGCAATGATCTTTCCATATCCATAAATCTACAACAGATAAGTCCTGAGGATAGGACCACTCCCTGTATTCCTGGGAGAAATCCAGAACATTCATTGTGTTTTACTAAGATTCAATGAGAAACCTTTGGTCAAAGCTCCAGATAAACAAAAGCAAAAACTTCACATAGATTGGAGATTCCTGCACTGGCTCGTTCCAAATGGAAGAAATCCTTAAGCAGCATGGGAAAAGCTGCTCTTATGGCCTTTGATAGCAATGTGGCCAGAATTTTTCATTTGTATTGTTACATTCATATTTATTATAGCTCATTTAAATTAAAAAAAAAGTGTGAGAAAACTCATCAGAAAATCTTGAAATAGATTGAAACCAACTACAAAGATATTTAGATTTTACTATTTTAACAGTTGTGAGATCACTCTGTTCTCTCTTTTTAACTTGTGACATCAGTTTCTAATTGAAAAATACCATGAAGAAATAACTTTGCTGAGTGCTTGGTAAAGATATTTTCTTATTTTTTTTAAATAGACATTGTGAAGACAGAGTTAAAATGAAAATATTTCTACTAGTTGTCTTTAATGAGTATTGCTGACCTGAAATATTAAAGAAAAAAAAAAGGCATCTGTCTCTGCACCAATTTACCCAACAATCTGTAAAGGTTGACTGAAATTGCTATATAACATTTGTTTATAACACTTTCCAGTAAAATGTTATGGGCACGATGTAATGATTGGCTCTTTTTTACAGTAAGTTTACTGTATACTTTTCCTATACATTTGAAATTCCTATACATTTCCTACATGTCTGAAATTCCTGTATGTTTGAAAACATGACTGACCTAGACACATGAAGCAGTCATGGGAACTACAATACTCACAATAAAAATAAATCACCATTGACTAGAAGCATCATATATATACATATACATATATATATACATGCACATACACATATGTATGTGTGTTTTTTACAATTCTAGCCTTCGATTTGGGGAAACAAGGCATTTGGGGAACAGAATGAAGCTGCGAAGAAACAAATGCTGTTAACATGGAAAAATACAAATATTATCCTTTGGACAATGACTCTTTGGAGTCATTATCTAGAAGACAATTAAATTAAGACAATTAGAAGACATTATCTAGAAGATAATTAAATTAAAAACGAACACACACTCTCCCCCATCAAACCCAGTGAAACTTAATTTTCCTAAAGGTTAACCATGTTCAATGTCTAACCTACAGGTCTTGGCGAGTCTAGGAACCAATTTTCAACCATACAAACAATGTGTTAACTTTGTCAGGATATAAGCCAGTGGGATGCCCTGGTGCAACTGTGCTGTGTCCAGTTGATTCAGAAAAAGCCCTCTGATAACGTTGGAGAGGACAGAAGGCCTGCACAGAAAGTCAACGAAAAAGTTGCAGTGAAAGCTGCTGTCATTTTGAAAGGTGATGAAGTAGAATATATAGAAAGCACCCTGGCAGCTCCCGGAGTGTGTGTGTGTTGGGAAGGGGGGAGTCTAGTTTAGACGATCTGCCTTATAAGGTAGGTAGTTTATTCACTAATCCATTCCAGACCACAGCAGTTTAAAAGAATTTTTTTTTTTTTTTATCTTTGTTTTCAGAGGCCTTGGCTTAGATATGTGAGAACAGCATATAGACCAGATCTTAGAGATGGACATCTTTTGCATTCAAACAATCTTTTAAAAAATCTGGATTTATTAAATACAGACAAAAACATTTACTTTCTTGAGCTATTCAGTAAATAAAGACAAGTAACATCACATTAGAAAAAAATTCTTTGGCTCTATACATGTGGTATGTACCTATGGGAATACACAGGTGGAGGATTTAAATGCTTATTTTTGAGTGTAAGAACAGTATTTTCTCCTTGAGACAGCTTCTTTGTACTTGCTTTCACACGAGTGAATTTTTCCCTGTATTGTTAGGTGCTGACCACTTACACTTGCTTTGGTGGTCTGATGTTGTCTGATCAGTTTAAGGAAATACGAAAATATATGTCCCCACATTTATCAAGATCAGTAAAGTAATTCATCACTTAGCATCAGTAAGCCTATTTTTCATACCAGTGACACGATAATTACATCAAAATCACAAAAGTGATGTTAATAATCTGGATTTATCTTGTTAGTGTATGCAAAACCTGCAAACAGACATTCTGTGTTTCCTAATCTTTCACACAGCCAGATGAAAATTCAAGAATTATTCTTGAGCCTCGCTTTTCATAGGACATAATAGTTCTTGTACTAAATGTGTTAATCTAGTTTGATTGTCTGCAAATTCAAGCTGTATTTTACTTTTAAATTTCACTTCCATTATGTATTGCTGGAAGATCCAGAATTCAATTATATTTTTCCTCATTTGTTTAATTTGAGTAAATAAAAAATTGTTTTCACACTTGCCTATTGAAACAAATGGCACACAATAAGTTAAATGAAGCTGGTACATTCTGGGGAAAAAAAAGGGGGCTCACAGCAGCACTTAAGCAAGGAAATCTTTCAAGAATATATCAAAATAGTTTTTAGAAAGCTCTTGTGGGAGAAGATATGGCAATGGAAGAAACCACCATTTACATTACAGTGGGTGGGAACCCACAAAACTAAATTATTTATGGCATGAGAGCACTCAATAGAAACATGACTCTGGGGCAAATGTGACTCTACTTATGCCATGGAATATCGTTCACTTCAGTGAGACAAAAAGAAAAAAATTGGCCACTCTTCCCAGCAAAGGCAGGAAGTAAAGAGAAAGGCCAAGAATAGATATACTTCTAGTCTAAAGAACATGCATTGGTCCCCTGTTGATATTCAGTGTTCATTTTACTTAAGGATAATATACAAGTTACTGTAGTACATCAGAAACCAGTTATTATACAAGATTTTGCATTACTTTCATCCAAAATCCACTTCTTTGAAAGTTAAGATCTTTTTCTTTTATATATCTAGAGGAAATTTTAGCACAGAGAAAGAAATGATCTGCCTAAAGTACGCCATCTGTTTTTATTATTTTTGTGATGATGATAGTTCCTACACTTGTTCCCACTGTGGTGTACATCTATTACAAAAGAAAAGCTTACAGGCCACACAGACAATGCAAATAAAATGAGTTTTCTCTGTTGTATTGATGTGACATTGATATAGAGAGGGATGAAGAAGTTTTAACTGCAAACAACTACTGAATATAGCCTGATGGCTAATAGAATCACAGAATCACAGAATAGTAGGGGTTGGAAGGGACCTCTGTGGGTCATCTAGTCCAACCCTTCCAAAACAGAAATAATGACTCGCTATTTAGCAGTACAAAAAAAAAACCGAAAAAAACCACACCACACCACACAACACTTTTAATGTGGTTTTCAGGTCAAGTTATAATGCATTCTTGTAAAAAAATCAGCAAGCCTCATTTGCAGCATCAAGAAAAAAAGAACAAAATTATTTTATGTCAATCTTTATTAAAAATTAATAGGTCATAGTATTTTTAAATGTTAATGTCTCATTTGTTCCAAGTTAAATCACAAGTGTACATCTGTAACAATCATACCTTATCAATCACAGACTCACTTAAAGGTGACTGACTATTTTAAAGGGATTATGTCACCCAGGATCCCATTGGCCTTCTTGGCAGCCAGGGCACACTGCTGGCTCATAGTTAACCTGTCGTCCACCAGGACACCCAGGTCCCTCTCCGCAGAGCTGCTCTCCAGCAGGTCCACCCCAAGCCTGTACTGGTGCATGGGGTTGTTCCTCCCCAGGTGCAGGACCCTGCACTTGCCCTTGTTGAACCTCATCAGGTTCCTCTCTGCCCAGCTCTCCAGCCTATCCAGGTCACGCTGAATGGCAGCACAGCCTTCTGGTGTATCTACCACACCTCCCAGTTTGGTGTCGTCAGTCTACAAGTACTTTTTAAAAGTCAAGCAAGCTAAAATCATTGGCATGTCCAGAAACCTGGTATCTGCTGAGATCACCAAGACTTGTCCCATAGGGAACCTGACACACACATAATTGATTTCAGGATCAGGACCTACAAGGCCAGGAGTACGCAGTTCTTTCTTAGAAGTAGATTATGGTACAGGAGCTGATGATCCATATTTTAGCGTAGTCATAACACTGCCCTCACCCTAATTTTATCACTCCCAAGGAAAGAGTAACAGAACCTGGACAGTGTATGCCAGGTTCTTGCTTCATTACAAGATACAACTCCACATGCTTTTTCATGCATCCACATATGACTATACTTCTAAGAGAAATAATTGGGTATAAAATGTGCTTTTTAACATACCCCCCATTTTCTTGTGAAAAAACAAAGCAGGCCATTTTGTCATGTCACAGACCTTTTCATCATAATGTCAGCCAAGTCAAAGGTGAACATAAGTAAAAGTTCTTTGTTTACTGACATGAAGGCTTTACACCCTGACACATTTCTACGATAAATAAATAAATTCAGATCGTTAAGTACACAAGACTCAGTCTCTTGAGCAGCCAATAAAATTTTGTTGCTAACCAAATTGCAGTAGATATAAAGGCAAGTACTTATTTACTTAACTAATGCTTGGATTAATTCCAAATTGAAATAGGTTTGTAAAATATGTAGAGTGAACTGCCTCCCGCACATGGCTGCTCTCTCTGTGGACTACAGGCTACACATATGCAGCTTAGGTGAATCAATTTTGAGATGGCTGAAGTCAAAGTTAATCCCACACTCTTCACATTTCCAATTGGTCAAGGGAAATCTGTGGACTTCAAGAGTTTTAAATGCAATCCAACTTCTCCAGAGTAACATTTTCTGGAATTACTGGTTATAAACAGTTGTTAGATTAAATAATTTAAATTGGTTTTCACAACCAGCAGCAGTAATGATATAGTATTTGACCAGCTTCACAATTAGACACAATTAACCAACACATTTCATTGTAACAACATTCTCTGTTCTTCATCATCATCTGTTTCTTTGCCTCCTGTTCCCAGTAGCTGCTTGCCTTCTGTGGTGTTGGTTTTCCTCACGCGCGGCCCTGGGCAAGGTCTTTGCTCCCCAGTCGCTGATCCGTGTCCAGAAGCACCAGCGTCACGCTGCCCTTTCTGGCCAACTGTCTCATCTCAGTTTAAACAACCCACTGAATCTTGTACAGGATGCTTCAGTAACCACCTCACATTTAAAGCTGCTTGCCGTATATTAATGTCAAATGTAGACAGAAGAAATAGAAACCTTAGTCCTAGTCAGACTTACCTTGCAGTTTTTCTTTGCTAGCAGGGAGCTGAGAGCGAAGCTGTGGGGTGAAAGCGCTCTCTGTCCTCCCTACTTAAACCTGGCTGTTACAGGGGCAGCAGTGCGAGCCTTAGGTCTCTAGAACGGCAGCCAAGAAGGAAAATGGCTTTATCCACTGCACTGAGTGCAGGTGTCCAGCTTTGGGCAGCCGGGGCGGCAGGGGCGGCCGCTGTGAGGAGAGGCCAGGGCTGCCCTGTGCCGGACACAGACGGTTCCAGCCGGCGCCAACAGACCCACTGCAGGCCGCAGCTGAGCATGTTAGCCCAGATGGTTGCATCTCAGGGAAAACACGTTTAAGAAAGGATAAAAACACCACATGACAGTGTGAGGAGTGAGCGGAAAAAAGCAAGAGAAACAACCCTGTGGACACGAAGGTCAGAGAAGCTCCCCAAGGAGAGGAGGAGGCGGCGGAGCAGAGATTCCCCTGCAGCCCATGAGGGAGACCATGCTGGAGCAGGTATTTCCCGTGGAGAACCCCATGCTGGAGCAGGTGGAGATGTCCAGAAGGCAGCTGAAGCCTGTGGAAAGCCCACACTGGGACAATCTTACCCTAAAGCACTG